CGGTGCTGGCAGAGACGGCAGTAGTATTTGCAGTGGTGCTGAGCATCCACGCAGCCGTATGGGACCGATACTCGTGGTGCTCCGTGGCCCTCGCAGTGCAGGCCTTCTACGTCCAATACAAGTGGGACCGGCTGCTACAGCAGGGGAGCGCCGTCTTTCAGTTCCGAATGTCCGCAAACAGTGGCCTACTGCCCGCCTCCATGGTCATGCCTTTGTTTGGACTAGTCATGAAAGAGCGGTGCCAGGCTGCGGGGAACCCGTTCTTCGAGCGTTTTGGCATTGTGGTCGCAGCCACTGGCATGGCAGTGGCCCTCTTCTCATCAGTGTTGGCGCTGGGCATCACTCGCCCGGTGCCAACCAACACTTGTGTCATCTTGGGCTTGGCTGGAGGTGTTATCATTTATATCATGAAGCACTCGCTGAGTGTGGGGGAGGTGATCGAAGTCCTGGAAGTCCTGCTGATCTTCGTTTATCTCAACATGATCCTGCTGTACCTGCTGCCCCGCTGCTTCACCCCTGGCGAAGCGCTGCTGGTATTGGGTGGCATTAGCTTTGTCCTCAACCAGCTCATCAAGCGCTCTCTGACACTGGTGGAAAGCCAGGGGGATCCAATGGACTTCTTCCTGCTGGTGGTGGTAGTAGGGATGGTACTCATGGGCATCTTCTTCAGCACTCTCTTTGTTTTCATGGACTCAGGCACCTGGGCCTCCTCTATCTTCTTCCACCTCATGACCTGTGTGCTGGGCCTTGGTGTGGTCCTACCCTGGCTTCACCGGCTCATCCGCAGGAACCCCCTGCTCTGGCTTCTTCAGTTCCTCTTCCAGACAGATACCCGGATCTACCTCCTAGCCTATTGGTCTCTGCTGGCCACCTTGGCCTGCCTGGTAGTGCTATATCAGAATGCCAAGCGGTCATCATCTGAGTCCAAGAAGCACCAGGCCCCCACCATTGCCCGAAAGTATTTCCACCTCATTGTGGTAGCCACCTACATCCCAGGTATCATCTTTGACCGGCCACTGCTCTATGTAGCCGCCACTGTATGTCTGGCAGTCTTTATCTTCCTCGAGTATGTCCGCTACTTCCGCATCAAGCCCCTGGGTCACACTCTGCGGAGCCTCCTGTCCCTTTTTCTGGATGAACGAGACAATGGACCACTCATTCTGACACACATCTACCTGCTCCTGGGCATGTCTCTTCCCATCTGGCTGATCCCCAGACCCTGCACAGAGAAGGGTAGCCTGGGGGGAGCCAGAGCCCTCGTCCCCTATGCCGGTGTCCTGGCTGTGGGTGTGGGTGATACTGTGGCCTCCATCTTCGGTGGGACCATGGGGGAGATCCGCTGGCCTGGAACCAAAAAGACTTTTGAGGGGACAATGACATCTATATTTGCGCAGATCATTTCTGTAGCTCTGATCTTAATCTTTGACAGTGGAGTGGACCTTAACTACAGTTACGCTTGGATTTTGGGATCCATCAGCACTGTGTCCCTCCTGGAAGCATACACCACACAGATAGACAATCTTCTTCTGCCTCTCTACCTCCTGATATTGCTGATGGCCTAGCTGTTACAGTGCAGCAGCAGTGACAGAGGAAACAGACATGGGGCAGGCAAACAGTCCCCACAGCAGACAGCTACTTGGGAATGAAGAGCCAAGTTGTGAAAAGCAGATTTGATTTTTCAGTTGATTCCGATTTAAAATAAAAAAGCAGAGCTTTCCTGGTTCTAGTTTTGCTGATTTTTATTTTATTTTTTTATTTTTTTGAGATGGAGTTTTGCTCTTGTTGCCCAGGCTGGAGTGCAATGGCACGATCTCAGCTCACCGCAATCTCTGCCTCCCAGGTGCAAGCAATTCTCCTGCCTCAGCCCCCTGAGTAGCTGGGATTACAGGCATGTGCCACCACCCCCAGCTAATTTTGTATTTTTAGTGGAGATGGGGTTTCTCCATATTGGTCAGGCTGGTCTCCAACTCCCGACCTCAGGTGATCTGCCCACCTCAGCCTCCCAAAGTGCTGGGATTATAGGCATGAGCCACCACGCCCAGCTTTGCTGATATTTAAAAAGAAAAGAGTCTTAAGGGATAGTCCAGCAACTCAGCTGAGCACACCTGAGTGTGCTATAGAGCTCCCCTCTTTCACCCTGCAGCCTCAGAGGACGCTGGAGGTTGTAAAGTGTGATGGTTAACTTTAATCTCTGGTTCAAACTAATCTGGTCAGAATCCTTGGCCGCACAGCTTCTTATTAACTGTGTGACCTTGGGTGAGTCACTTAACAAGTCAACCTCAATTCTCTTGCAGATGGGAGTAATGACATCCTGCACCTCTCAGGGTGTTGTGAGGGTCCAGCTTAGAGCCCACCCACGATGAGCAATCAGTAAGGGAAAGTGTCATTTTACCAAAGACCAGTCTTAGCGAAAAGCAGGGCAAACCATGGATTTATATTTGGCAACCAGAGTGACCTTTGCTTTCCAGTCTTCACTTGGAGGAGAACCCCCTGAGGGAAAGAGCAGAGGGATAGGAACTACTGGGGGTGGGGGCAGGATCAGATCCTGCTTGAGCTGGATCTTGTTTAGGCAACCCCACCCTGCCTCCGGTGTCCCCACTGGGAGGTGCCTGTAGAGAAGGATGGGCTGAGCAGCACCAGGAACTTGTCAAGGGATTCTTCGTAAGACCCTTCCACATTCTAGTCCTTCCCAAGGTAGGTAAGATCCACAGGGGCTGGGAGAGTTTCCTAAGAGGTAAAATGGCTCTCTGGGAGGACAGGCTCTGGGACTGCCTCATTCCCTACCCCATCCCCCAAGGCTAGCACAGGGGGCTGACAAGAAGCAGGAAGTCAGCGGATTTGGGAGTCCATCCTGCACTGTGTCCCTCCCAGAAGTGTACACTACACAGATAGTGAACGGATAAAACGTTTTGCATCACTAGGAAGATAGCACAGCAAGATTCCTGAGGCTGGACGAGGCTCTCCCTTTCTCCCCAAGCTTAGGAGGACATCAGAGGAGGTGAGAATCTTAGTCCACCAGGGCCAGAAGCAGAGCTCTGCTGAAGCTTCTGCTTGAGAATTGCTGCCAAGTCCTTTCCCTTAGAGGAGAGTATTGAAACATTCCTCTGGGACTCAATGGAGGCACCTCCCTTTTCCCAGGCTCCCTCCTACAGCTTACAAAACGAGGCAGCAAAATGTTAGTGAAAGAGCACTAGCTTTGCTCCACGGACTTCCAGGGTGGCCTTAGGAAAGAGCTCTATTCTCTGGGCCTTGGTTTGTCCGTGTATGTAGTTGGGGTTAGGGTACATCAGGGTCACAAACTCAAATGACTGCCAAAACCAGTCAGGTAATGCTGTGAGTGAGAACAGGGGACAACACTGAGCCTGTAAGGCAGCTCTAGCCGGTGGCCACCATGCTAGAGTGTAGGCCCTGTGTTGTCCATTGTATGCTCATTCGGGGAAGCTTAGTAATCTGGATAGTTATGTGGAATCTTAAGATTTTTCTTAAATGCTGAGGCCTAGACAAAATGCATCTGTGGGCTGGAATCGGCCTGTGGTCCCCAATTTGCAGCCTCTGGGCCAAACCTCAGCGAAGCAGGTTTTAGATTTGGTAGTTGTTTGGAAGGTCTGAGTGCCTACCAAGCATGCCCAAACAGGACGGGCCCCTGGAAGTCCTAGTCTGGCCCTCTTACTGGACACAGGAGGAAACAGGCCCAGAGAAAGGAAAGGCCCTGGTCTGAGACCAGAGAGCAAGTTGCTCACAGAGCCAGGACCAGAACCTGGAACTCTAGATTCCTAGCTCTGGGCATCTCTGCTCCCCAAGAAGAGAAGACAAGGCAGTGTCAAGGTTAGGAGCACAGGCTCTGCATGAGGCCAACGCTGCTGAATAACCAAGCAGCTGTGTGATTTGGGCAGGTCATTTACCAGCTCCTTGAGTCAGCATCTTCTGTAAATACAGATGATAACAGCACTTACCTCTCCATGAGGATTCCGTGAGATAAAGCCTGCGAAGAGCTCAGCACAGAGTAGGGCACATAGTGAATGCCCAGTTACTTATTAAAATCATGCAGCCAGACGTGTTGGCTCACGCCTGTCATCCCAGCACTTTGGGAGGCCGAGGTGGGCAGATCACTTGAAGTCAGGAGTTTGAGACCAGCCTGGCCAACACGGTGAAACCGCATCTCTACTAAAAATACAAAAATTGGGGCCGGGCGCGGTGGCTCAAACCTGTAATCCCAGCACTTTGGGAGGCCGAGGCGGGTGGATCACAAGGTCAAGAGATCGAGACCATCCTGGTCAA